TGATCATTTGTTCCACCGCAACCTGTGTTGTTTACGCGACCGGGATCTGATTGGAGGAAAAAAGTGAGGAGGCCACCTGATGATGTGGTCAAGTAGAATGAACTCTCTCACATCAATGTTGGTCATGGTTGCGGTCTTAAAATGATGAACAGGTTTTGCTGGATACAATGGTCGACATGACGGAGAGCTGAGCTCAGTGAGTTTTTCTGTCCCATCCAGCTTAGACTCCTCTTCTAACTACGGTCTCGTTGCAAATTCGTAGGGCAAAACAAAGCATAGTTTTTTGCTTTGCTTTTTTCTGTCACCTGATCGAATTGAAGAAGGCAAAAAGACATCAGCAGTACGCCGGTACGCAGTATCGACATTTCACTGCCACGTAATCGCCACTCGTCGCACGTGGCTAAGGATACTGCGAGTGTCGCCTGATCCCTACTCAGCTTCGAACCCCCGCCCTCGGATTACAAAGCAGGCTTGCGTTTCTATTGTTACACAACAGCTAGGGCGGTTTTCACCCTTAGCTAAGGTGTGAAATGTCGGTGAGTGTGTGCTTGGTAGACTTTGGGACTGGTCCATTCTGAGGCAGATGTCTGTTAATCATGTCACTTGCTCAGTCTTACGCCTGTGATTGAGTGATGCCTCAACACTATTTGCTTAGTGGGAATAAACCACTTCAGGTTTCCCAGCCCGTTGACCTTGGTGTTCTGTCATGCTGCTTCAATTCGAATGTGGACTGGAAGAAATTCACTGATAAATGGTTAAGAATGCTGTGGATGATCCACAGATCGTTCGAAATTATCACACCCGAAATGTTCGGATTGTTTTCAGTTGGTTAGCCAACAACCTTCTCGGGGTGCCAGCTGGGTGGTTCGGGTTTAACCCGTTCCAGCAAATAGTTCGGCGACAGTGTTCCAGGACGTGATGGCTTTTCGCCTGGCAAGCGTTTTCCCTATAAAAAGCCACATGTCCGTTTAACAACACTGTGACGTGTCGGATGTGACTCGTTACAAACTAAAGTCACTGCCCCGTGGATATCCAATGTTATCCAGTCCACATCATCATCATTATACACGTTATCTAGAGTTGTAAAACACCTCAGCTACTGTGCCGCAATACACAAGAACAAGGAAATAAATACAACAGTTGCATGCCAGCTGAGCTACCAGCAACGGATGGGCATCGTTCCGGAAAGCTAGCAGCCGGCTACTAGGCAACAAGAAAAATTATGATGTAAAATTATGTTATGCTACGATATGAGATCGTGGTTGGAGGGGGAGGCTGAAAGAGATGGGGAGGGACAAAGAAACACATCAGGAATGCCAATGAGGTCGGCTCCTTGCCATGTCAACAAGTGTATCTAGCCAAACGTGTTCATCGTTTTTGGACCCCAACCAGCGAGCCGTGAAGGTCTAACCGAGGCCAGCTCCGAAGTGAGCGCCTTCATTCCTCTCGACCAAGTCGTCGTTTGGCCACCCCTTCTCTTCTTTCATCCAAACCCCCGGTGAGCAAACAACGCACGTCGCGGGCGTCGGTGGGCTGGCATGCGCAACACGTGGCCGAGCCATCGGAGCTTGGTGCATGAAATGACGGTGCTGAGCGTTTCATTTCCTTTTCCTGTACCATAAACAAGGTATCGAACACGGTCGTTGCTCACGCAGTGTTCCCATCAGATGTCATTCAAACTGCGAAGGCACCGATGGTCGAACGTAACTAGCCTCTATGTCGGCTGATCTAAGGGGCCAGGCTTCGCAACCGTACAGTAAGGTCGAACGTACCGCTGCATTGTACACTCTACCCTTCAGGGCCAGAGTGATGTCGCGCCGCCGCTATAGGTGGCAAAGACTAGTAAAAGCACTTCGAACTTTTGCTATACGCTTTGTGATCTCGTCTTCGATCCCAAGGGCGCTGATACAGATAGTTGAATTTCTGAACGACTTCTAGCTGATCCCCACCAAGGGTCAGCGCAGGGGACGATCCTTGCCAATCTTGGAGGAAAGCTTTGCACTTCGATGATGCAAGGCAAAGCCCGGAACGGCTGGCAACAAGCACTAATCTGTGCAGTGCAGTTTGGCACGTCTGGGAGCTGGCACAGCTGAGGGCAATGTCGTCTGCACACTCCAAGTCAAGAGGTCATTCTCCTGGGAGTAGCTCCACACCTAATTCGCGTCCTGTAAATCCAATCTCCATGACTTCGTCAATAGCGAAGTTGAATAGGAAAGGTGACAGCGGGCATTCTTTTCTCACACTGCTGGAGATATTGAAGGGTGGCAACAGCTTGCCGTAAGCCCTCACTTTGCTTTCACTCTACTCGGATAATATTTACATATTTTTAGGGCACACGTTTCCTGAGTAAACGGTCTTACAGTGCACATCGATCAACCGAATAGAAGGCACCTTTGATGTCGAGGAATACGACAACGGTGGGCCGCCAACAATGGACGCAAAGTGAAGATGTGGTCGACGCAGCCACGACTTCGACGAAACCTGGCTTGCTCCTCACGAATCTGGCTTTCACGAGCGCCAGTCAGTCTGTGAAGAATTGTGGAGGCGAGTAATTCGGAGGCGATGGGGATCAGACTGATTCATCTATAGTTGCCGTATTCCGAGCGCGAGCCTCCTCTGAAAATGGGAACAATAACTGAGCAGTTCCGGTTGGTTTGGACAGTTTCCTGCTCCCACAGTTTCACTAGTAATTCGTGTGAATGATCAACAAGAACAGGGCTGCCGAATTTGAAGAGGGCTGGAAGAATATCCTCTGGTCCTGCGGTTTTATTTAACTTCAACAGTGCAGTCTCACGTTCGGCTTCTGAGCGAGAGGGTGGATCCAAAGGTACAGCCCAGGGAGCGGGGCGGTCAGTGGCCGGCGAGAAATCTAACCATTGCAACCGGTTAAATTGCGTTCTATAGTGCTCAGCCTAACGCTCCAATCGTTTTGACAAGTTGTGGATAGGCTGTCCACTCTCGTCACGAATAGTTTCACTAGTAACAGGTCTCCTGCTGCCCGTTTCCCATAGCAGACTTAATAACTTTCGATGGTTACCAAGGGCAGCGGGCATTTCCATCTCTGAAGCAAGATGAGACCACCAAGATTCGCAGTCTCACTTGAGGTTAGCACGGAGTTTTGCCCGGATCGCTTTGCGAGTTCTATTGTGTTCGCTTCCAGCCGGAATATACCAGCGAGCATCGATAAGCTCCAGAGAGTGCGAAGAGACCCAATGTCCATGTTGGCTAGTAGACTTACCACATGAGGATTTGCCTGCTGCTAGTCAGGTCTGGCCAACATGTGACCATTGACCATCAATTATCTCCAGTGAGCGCTTACTCAACTCGCATGTCAGCGTACATTGATAGGCATTCAGAACAGCTGGCTTTGTCAGTTGACTGATGTCAATGCGCTCGCAGCATCGTCGTGGGCGTCCGCCAAAACGCATCCGCATGTCAGCACATACAAGTGCATGATCGGTGTCCACACCTGTGCTCCAAATCGAGCGACAGTTCTGGACGCAGCCTCTCCAGCGGTAACTGATAGCAATGTGATCGATCTGCATTCAAGGCTGGTTCGAGGCTGGTGTGCGCCAAGTCACCCTTCTGCAGGGGCTGTGTCGGAGGAGTGACGCTCCGCGTTTGCATGTGATTTGAAACTAGAAGATAAACGCCCAGCAAAGCATGTTGGAGGTGGGCCTAGAATCGGGGGGTTGCAAACTGGGGGGATAAAAGTGAAGTTGGAACGGAACCATAAGGAAGAAAAAGCGTAAGAGGGGGAGAAAGCGGACGGGAAGGCTTGAGCAGTTGCATCCAAACCCCTATCCACCCTGCTCGATCAGCAGATAGGGCACCGTTGATTATCCTCCGCGGTAGCCAGAGCATGGAGAAACTGTTTGAAGAGGCATTCCTAGTATTGCGTGGGTAGAATACTGTCAGGTTGCCCAGGCCTAGACAAGAGAACGATTAGGGTTCTCAACCAAAGCTTTTGGTTCAAAAACCTGACCACAAGGCAGCAGGTTTGGCGTTGGGCCACAAGAAGTCCGTTTTAAGGAATAAGGAGCCACCTCATTCCAACCCCCAACCTGGAGGACCAGGAGGCTGTGTTTGTCTGGCCTCTAACCATTGACTAATCTGGTATGAGTGGCTCTGAAGATGCAAAAAAGCACCACCCACCATGGATCATTGAGGCACACAAACCATCGCACCATATCCAACTCGCGGACATCACTCTTTTCTACTCACATTTCTGACGATATCAAACAGTCAAAAAGACAGCAGCACACTTACAGGCACTAGCTATACAGCTACGCACATAACAGCTACATACGTATATACACCCAAACATACAATCACTGTAATATGTAACCTGGGTTTTTATGCATTTTTGATCACATTTTGTTATGTTCACATGACCATACCTGTAAAATGCTGCCTCGCGTTGTCGCGAATAAAACGTTTATTTATTTATTTATTGTTTTGCCGCACCTGGAGTATCGCCCTACCTTGTCCACCATGGTTGGTTCGTTATAGGATATCAGTGAATCGGGTCTTGAAGGTTGGAACGAAAATGTTTCGAGACCTACGGCACTTGTCGTATTCAAAGAGGCTGCCTAAAATCGGCTTTCGCTGTCTTATAGTGCACATTATGGTGGCTTACTTCTTACCTATCAATTACTTACAAGGAAGATCAGCCGTGATTTGTTTTAGCTTTTCCAACCAACTCTACTACCTCTCTCCGGGGTAATTCGACGAAGTTGCACAAACCATGATCTGATGGGGTTTGGACCTACGTTCGAGTTTCACACAGAGTAGTTGCTTCGTGGAATGCATTGTTCTAGGACATGATATCGTCCTGAACAATGAGAGAATTTGCGCATCGACACATATTTGGCTTACACTTCCAGATCTTCCCTTTTACATCCCAGGTCTTTTATTTATATGCGTTTTTATAATCATTTACATTTTCTACTTATTATCACTATTTTGTTATTTTTTGCGTTTTGTTATTTCTTACTTCAGGTAGCAGGCGCAGCGGGAGCCGCTACTGCAGTCCAAGTGAGCACTAATTGTCAGACCATTGTGTGATTCGCGCGTATTGCCTTGGCTCTCCTGTATTCCAAATATTATTGTCGATAGATACCCCGATTCAACGACACATTCAAGAAAGAACATCCGCAGAAATTTCCCGCTTTTTCAGTCCCAGTTGTGTTTGTATTCTGGTTGAAACTACTGTGTAGACACTGGTATTCGTTTCATGCTGCAACTTCTCAAGTGCTCTTCTCTGAGCCGTGCTCTTCTGAGCACTGGTTGTCGTCGACTCAGGCATGGTATTCTGGATTTTTCTATCTTTCGATTCAAAACGATCGCACAAGGGACGAGTGATCGCATTGTTATCGGAACATGGTTGGCAAGCCTGTCCGGTATGACCCTCGGCGCTGTACTTCTGGGGGGCGCTACAAGGCTGACGGAATCTGGATTGTCAATGGTCGACTGGCACCCATTTAAAGAAGTTCCTCCATCAAGTGAACAATTATGGTTGGAAGAATTCAATAAATATAAACAGTTCCCGGAATACAACTAGTATGTTTACATTTCCACTACTATCCTTTCATCATTCAGCCAGGTTGAAGTTCACGGGGAGATGTCCTTGTCACGATTCAAGTTCATATGGTACATGGAGTACGCACACCGAATGTGGGGGCGCTTTATCGGTGCTGTCTATGCCATACCTGCTGCCTACTTCCTTTATAGAGGTTCTCTAAATCCTGGAATGAAATCGAGGGTTTTCATTTATGGTTGCTTGATAGGTGTCCAAGTAAGCCCCGCTGTTATTTACCTTTGGTGAAATCGCTTCCATTACTTTGATGTCATATTGCCCCCAAAACAAGCGTATTTTTGATACGTTAAGATAACTAGGCAATTAATCGATATTGCCATTTTTTCCAAAAAGGAAACAACCAGTGGATTCTTGTACAACGTATCACTTGAATTTAGCTTGCTAAGAAGGATGACCTTCCGTACTTGTAACTAAAACCTACAAAAATATATATTCAGAGTAGCATGGCCTATAATTTAAAAATTATGACAATGCATCTTACCTGGATAGATACAGAAACTGGCGCTACTGTATATTTTTTGCTGAGGGAACAATCCAACTTCAGTTGTATATTATTTCGTGCAGATACCCCAGTCACTTTTGCTCTGATGAAGTTCCATTTGGACAAGAAATCGTTGTCTAGCCCATGTAAAAGTCCGTAGCTACATAGACCATTGACACCGTTCTTTGCTCTTGAATGTGACGCGCGCTGATTGCTGTTACTCAAGGAGGCATCCGACACGTCATCCTCACAGTCGCAGCCTTTCTGTTCAGGTCGGTTCTCTAAACTTTTGCTCACCATTTCATCTTGAACAGTTGTCAGACCTGAGGTCCATTCCGCATTGTTGTCAATGGCGACGAACTCTTCTGCATTGATGACTGGGATGGTGCAAGCGCTGATCTCGCCCTCAGCGATGACGGCGTCATCAGAAAGTGCATCGGATGCCAATCGACTGAAACCAGCATGACGAAAGCGAGCTTTTATTATTGCACCGGTAACCTGCCTTCAACATTTTGTTACGTTACTGAATTGCATCGAACACATAAATCTTGTCGTTGACATCCACCGCCGATGATGAGCCAGATAGCACGTTGTTTTCGATATGATGAAGAAATGGGTCTATACTTTCCTTTCTGTAACGGATTTTCAGATTCAAAATCACACTTTGGTCCATGGGTTGAGTAATGCTGGCCGTCTTTGCCGGCAAAAATTTTATTTGAATGTTTTACAGGCCTTACCTGTGGATGCGCTGTGCAAGTTTCTAAGAGCAACATAATTTTTCGGCCGATTTGACCTAACTCCTTGTCCCATATGAGGGCCCACTCGTTGAAAAGTTCTTTCGTCAACCACGTATTTTTATTAGCTCTGTAGGTCACGGGTAGTGTATCCACATCCACGCTATTAAAACCTCGTGTTTTCTTACTTTCTCCAATCAAAATCAGTTTTCTTTTATCTGTGCCTGACTTATTCACGTAGCACAGGAGAGTGATTCCATCCATGGATTTTTCCGATTCACTCAGCTTGTTGGCAGAAATACACACACAGCCCTCTGGAGTTGCTGGATAAAAAGGACCTGTTTCGTTTGCATAGTGCACGTTGCCAACAAATGCACTTAAAAGTTCAGACAGTCAATCTTTCAGGCAATTTTCACAGACTACTCTGTCCGCGTAACTAGTTTCGCCATGTGCACATTTGTACACAATTCGATTTCTATTCTCCCATCATTGCAACCATCCTTCTGTGGCAGCAAAGGTTTTTCCAAGTCTTTCCCCGAAATTCGTCTGCCTGTTTCTTTAGAAGCGGGCCTGTAACAGTTTGGTTGTACTCACGAACCGATATCATCCAATCTTTCAATGCAGCTTCAACTTCTTCCTCCCTTCCACTTCGTTTCCTTTTCTGAGACCTTGCAGTGTCATGCGATAATTTCCGCCGGTTTCTTTTCGCTAGCCATAAATCTGGCTAGTGTACGACAAGGAATGTGTAAATCACACGACAACTTGGCGTACGACGTTCATGGTCGATAAGTTTTACTTTTGTCCAGAACGTCTGTTAAGAACAAATACTTTCTGTTATTGGCCATACTTGTGTGTAAGCAAAAGAGCACTGACAAATGTGGAACGGAAAACTTACCGGACTTTGCTCAGTTCTCGAGTTTTAACTAGAGCCGAGGGCTTGCTCACAGCCATCTGTAAATTTAGCTTGCTTGTGTATTGAATGACTTTCTCGGATCTGTCAACAACGCCGCCGGCATTTTTGCTGTCCTTGACTCAATCGGACTGGCTAGCTATGGGGTACTCGTAATAAAAGATAATCGGAGGGACGACGTAAAATTGACAAAGCGACAAGACACAGTCCACGCAGCTGGGCAATTAAGCGGTGGGACGATCAATGGCGATGGACAATTAGGCGGCAAACTTTAGCACATTTATGAGAAAAGAATTTGTTTTTTTGAAACACAGGGTGATAAAGCGAGGTGGGCTATAAACCGGGTGGGTCTTAAAGCGTGTTCGACTGTATTAGAATAAAGACCCAGTTGCGTTTCGCTGGTGTTTGCATTTCCGTATGCAGGCGTTGTGACTCGGATGCAGAGGACTGCGCTTAGTTGGAAAGCTTAGGCTTGATGCAGATTGTTGACCACCTAATTTCGTTTCCCTAAGTTTGAACGTTTCATTCATCTACTTATCTAACAAGAATCGACTTCATACTTATAGGTTCCAAAGGATGATTTAACTATCGAACCGGCGACACTTTCTAACCGGTGGATCGACATCGTCTTGCGTTTACTCCCAGTTTATGACTACAGCGACGTTTTCTCACTACAATACTTCCTGCTAGTGAGCCCACGGTCGCATACAGATTCCCATATCGTGCCCCTTAAGGATTTAACGTGGTTTAGGGAATTTGACGTGTGGTGCGAAAATACTCAACAGCCACTTCAGTTGTCAGCAGCCACTACTTGTATGTTGGTTTTATATCGATAATGACAATGCTCCTGATCTTCATTCCACTCCTCCTTCTAAGAGAAGTGCATGCAGGTAGCCGATTAGGAACAGAGATACGTAGATCAAATTTTCACTCCGTTACGTAATAAAACATCCTTACACACACCACAGACCAACCAGTCGTATATCAATAGACAGTCATCTGACATTTCCGCATCTTTGTTCTTTGCAGGGCTTACTGGGATGGCTCATGGTTCGAAGCGGCTTAAAGGAGTGCAAACCACCCGCTGGCTATGCGAAAGACGAACCCTTCCACGGAGTTCCTCGAGTCGACCACCTCTGGCTGTGCGCTCATTTGTCATCGGCCGTCATATTGTATTGTCTGTTTTATTGGGGAAGCATGACGCAGTTGGTCACACACCCTCCTGTGAGTTTTAACCGTTGTCTTTGTGTAACAAACATTAACTGGCTCACTACTATCCCTTCCAGGTAGGTAACTGGTTCAACACCAGGCCCGCTGTGAATATGCTTTGTGATCCCCTTCATTTTTAACCGATTATCCATTGTAAACTTTACCAGGTTTACCAGTCAACTTAAGTTGCAACAACATAGTTTGAGTACGCATATACTCAGCGCACGTGCTACTGGAGAATCGCTCGTGTGTGTGTTGGCAACTTCGTGTTCACAGTGATGACGTTCGACGTCCCGTTTTGGGGATTGCGAATATTCCCTTCAACAAGGTGGTTATGTCGCGCCAGTTGAGATGGCTCGGTCACATCCTACGCATGGTGCCTGAGCTTTTACAGTGCCGCGCTCTATTCACTCGTCAAGCACCGAGAGGCGACCGCTTGGTGGGCGACCCACGTAGCGATTGCACATGAAATCGCTGGTGTCGCGTCCAGCCGCCGTTGGACCCGTGCGTCTTCCAGGATAAGCGCCAGGGGCTTAACACGTTTCT